AGCCACACCAGCCTCTCATTTATGTCACATAACAGAATGTTCACTTTGTCTGGTTTTGTTGCAGTCTGCCCCATATAAGATTTTTCAATATGTCACCTAAAAAGGTTCTTTTATTTGATGACTTATTACCAAGAACATTACGTCATGATGTACTTAATTATCACATGGATAGAGATTATAAACCAAGTACTTGCATGTTACCACCAAGAACAGGACAACAGCATGATATTGATTCACTTATTATCAACAAACAGCAAGCAGCATGGATCTCATCAAAAATTGTGGAATCAACAAAGCAACTGCAAGGAAATCAAAGGGTGTCTTTGAAGCAAAATGATGTTTATAAGTTTACTCTGCTTTATAGATGTAGTAGAGATGGTAATACAGTTGCAAAATTTCGAGAATTGTGTAATAACAAAGGACCCACTATTGCTGTTGGCAAAGTGTTCAATACTAATACTGAAGAAATACTTGGTGGATATAACCCATTTGCATGGGGTTCTCAAAGTGAGTATGCTGATACTGAAGAAAGTTTTATATTTGCATTAGATAAAAACGTGGATAAGAGTATAGTAAGTTTTGTTGGTAATAATAGTCCATGGGCTATTTATGATGGTACTGGATGGTTTCCTATATTTGGGTATGGCCATGATTTGTTTTTTGGGAATGGCATTGATAGGAAGCCTTATGCCAAGAGAGCATCATACCAACTTGCGATTAGACTTTCATCAGATTGTTTTGAATGGACTGATTGGGAGGTGTTTTCAATTTCCAAACCTTAATCAAGTCATATAGTAATAACTAGTTATACAGTATATGCATTAATGCATAGTTTATGTGTATTATATAAGATAGAGTAAAGTTTTACATTACTTATTTTAGATTGATTATTGATCTGTTAATAATCTTCTCTTCTCCATCTACTACTTATTACTTCTTACTTGAACAGAAGTCAAAGAGTTTGGCTTTAAATAAAGTGTATAATTAATTGAATAAATTAAGGTTTGTGGGTGGGCAAAGGATTATAAATACATCATATATAACCCTGTACCACTTTTTCCTCCTTTCCAATTGTATAAAACAAATGGAAATACCGTATGATATATTAATAATGTGATATTAGTTGTTACATATGATGCATGTTCTAGGAATTCGGCATGTGCCTAAATTACATGTTTTTATTAAACTCTGTCCACACATTCGACTGTGAAGAATGACATCTGGAACCAATCCTATACCTAATCTCTCACATGGACGACCGTGAGTATCACGAAAAGTTGCAACAACACACTGAATTTTCGTGATTTTTATTAGGCGCAACAACACATAACACGCTGAGTCTTGCTGAATTTTGCAGGAGCCTGCTGCTTGAGTGAGCGATATTTTGCCATTTCGTTCTTCAGCTCGTCGAACGCCCTCCATTTCACACATTTGATAGAAAGCTTTCTAAATGCCGTAAGCACACCCGAGGCAATACAATGCCCCCATTAAGACTTTTGAGATTCACATGGGAGCGATCTTCTGTCTATACCCGTTCCATCTATTCTAGGGACTTGAATGGAATGCAGTCTCTAACTTTAATTTTTTTTTTAGCTGAAACTGTCCAACTGCCAACTCACGTAAAACGCATACACACATATAATTTAGTTGTATTCTGCTGCCCGCGGTTAATAAGTTCGAGAGGAGAGCTATAAAGTTAAAAGACGAGAATCGAGGTATCGTACTGGAGAGTTTACCAGAATAATAGTTTTGCTGTAAAGCAACTGCATCTTTTAGGTAGCAAACGTTATTGTTCAAATGACACTTGTAAAATGACAACCAATAACGCGAACTTGTAAGAACTACGTAAAACCATTCTTTAAAACAACTGAACAGGCTAAGTTTGGCATTATTATTACGTTTATGGAGTTTGTATTGAAGTTACCATTTGCTTGTTTCGAGCTTACATCGTTATAATAAAGAATATTTCTGAACGTAATGGAACGCCAGTAGATTACAACGTCTATATTGTCAACCAACCAAAATTATTATTGCTCAAGCATACTAATACACTTAATTAATAAACAATTTTTTGACTATATCTCCATTTATAATTAGCCGAAAACACCATAATGACTTATGTGATAGGAAGTTGTATTAATATTAAGCAATACAACATTGTTTACCAGTAACATCTAGACTGACTTTGACAAATTTGTTTGTATATAGTAATAGTATTTATCATTAATAAACTTATTTAGAGAGTCTTCAATTGTAATATTTTCAAATTTTATATGTACAGTATATTCTATTTAAATTACTTATGCAATCATCGTAACAACTTACACACTCAAATTAAAACAGCCATGCCCGCTATTAGATGTAAAAATTTCCATATGGTCTTATGTAAGGAATTATAACCACGATTTTTCATGTGAAAAACTATGATTGTTAGAATATACGCAAAAAGCGAAAAAGAATTGTTTCGTAAACAAACAAACTCATGCGTTTTTTGAAATCCCGAATCACCAATCGGATTGATTGATTTTTTAACATGGATAGCTTTTATTACAATAACCCGTTTTGATAAAGTCCCGCGCGCCTAAACAGACCCTCCGAATGATTTTTCATAAGAGATAAATGTTGTGTAACGTGCAATGCAAATACTTCGAGACAAAAAAACTCAACCATGTTGATACTAAAAATTCTTCCAACCTTAGACTAATCTAAATCTGTGCCTTCTGTACTTTCAGTACGTATGAGCTATACGCTTATTGCTTAACTCTAACTCAAATTAAGACCGCAGTAAGTCTTATTTCCAGCATTAACGTTAAGATTCTTCTTCATTTACGCATGATTAAACTCGCAAAAAATAGCAATACAAGGTTTATCAAAATGTCTTAGTAGTGCAAAAGTGCTTTACTTGTACCTTCTTAATGTTTACTATGGACAAACTGTAATTTTACTATGAAATCGGGTGTTTAATAGCTTGCAAATCCTTTCCAGAATTGAAGTTGTGACACTGCATTTTGTCCTAAGAAGTGCAAGTAAACAACCACTTTTGCACTACTAAAATATTTTGATGAACCTTGTATTTGCTATTTTTTGTGAGCTAAACCATGCGTAAACGAAGAAGAATCTTAACGTTAACACTGGAAATAAGACTTCCTGAAGTCTTAAACAATTCGAGTTAGAGTTAAGCAATAAGCGTATGGCTCATACGTACTGAAAGTACAGAAGGCATAGATTTAAGGCCGGAAGGATATTTAGTATCAACATGGCGAGTTTTTTTTGTCTCGAAGTATTTGCATTGCACGTTACACAACATTTATCTCTTATGAAAATCATTCGGAGGACATGTTCCGTTGCACACTAGTACTAGCCTTTAGTTGATTTTTCCGACATACTAATACATGGTACACACAAATTTCAACTTCATGGGTACACAAATAGCTCATACCCTTGACTTAGATCGTCTGTGATACATTAGTTCATTATCAAACTAAGCTTATTACGCCCGACACAAGGCTTAGCCTAGAACAACATGTGATTATAGTTTAAGCATACCGTAAAAAAACGATCATGAGAAATTTGATCGACAGTGATGATCCCTCTCAAGATAAACCCCCAAATTTGCTATCTACCAACGAGAGATGATATTTTCTATTTTGATCTGGGATGACAACAAATGATCTGCACAAATATTTAGGGTTTGAATTTCAAAACCCTGCCCCGATATTAATCAACTTTAAACTGCCGTAGTGAATGATTTTACTAATGTACTTGAAGAGAAAAACTACCGAGATATGTAAAAAAAAAAAACTACTCTATTGATAAGCTGGCAACAGTTGTTTGGTATGTTTGGTAATGATCCACAACGGAATAGCATCCGTCGTAGACATAAAATAGCCGTTAAGATGCCACTCATATTTTGAAGGCTGTTTATTCAACTTTTGATTAGCAACCAATTTTTCAATTTCTCTAATTGTTTACAAAAGCACGGTCTATGATGATATCTTCTGTCCTTGCCGCCAATTTACGGGGTTTTCCTGATCTTCTATGACGATTATATGAGGTTGATTTTCATTATTAGTTATAGCCCATGTATTTAAGTTTATTACGCGCCTGCTTTTTATTTGGTGTCAATTCTTAATACTAGCGACGAGTATACCGTGCTTTGCGGTAATTCAAATTAAAATCATTAAACAAATTCTGCTAGTGGAATTTGATTTTCAAACTTTATTCGCTATAACCGACACGATAATAAAAGTAATGATTATAGAATGGCTAACCTAGTTAATTATCCTTGAAAGTCGTAATAATCAAGACGTATTTGTGCTTATTGTGCGCATCTAACCGATTTCTAACAAACTCAAAACTTTAAATCTAAACCGACATTATTTACTGCTGGACAATGGCGTAAATTTGCGATTTGTGTATTGGGCTTTGTAACAATTTTGCTAGAAGAATTCTCAATTCATAACATTTGATAATAGTCTAAACAATACGTCATATATTTTCTTACAAATAATATTCAACATAATTAATAGTAAAGAGTCATATAAGAGATTAATTATACTGTAGCTTATAAAAGTAACTTGCTATAACAAATATTAAGTCTGTCATGTGAAAAAGATTGACTTTTTCTTAACTTATTGTACTTAGGTTCATATGTTATTAAAATAGCGTTACACTTTAGTCTTATTCCAGCCGCGGTTTTTTTGTATTTAAATATTTCTGCAAGGTAAATATCAAATTAGATGTTGTTTATGTACAAATTTAACGTGATAAATGTTTCTCACAACTTACCGCAACATTTGATCGTTTTTGCCTCTTTACCCTAGCTTCAGTAGTGTTTTGTTCGATAACGGGTTGTTCAAAAGAGCTGCCTGCTCGTTCAGACACCATGCGTAACCATGCGCCTATCTTTTTATTCCATTCCCGTACTTCATTTTGGGGAAAGTTATTATTCTGCTCAAACCGTAGCAGATTTTTTAATAAAATTGTCAAATGCTTCTTCAACCTTTTTGCAGATTTTTCTACTACCAACAACTCTTCGGTCGAAGATAGCAATTCTTTGACACTTTCCCAGTCTTCCTCGGTTATACACTCTGCCTGTTGCCAAAACTCCTTTATTGATATGGGTTTGTTACATTTTACGCACTGTGGACGGGAATTTTTCTAGTTGTTTAGTATAGTAGAATTTTCGGTTAGTTAGTCTATTAACTAAGCAGACATTTAATCACATGTCTCTATATCACTTACCTTTCCTTTATTTACACCATGGTGGCCTTGATTATCGTGATTATTCTCTATATTAATTTCTTGCTGTTCTCTTTCTTGTCCTCCGGTAATTACTTCCATTTCGTTAGCAGGACGTGCATTATCCTGTCGTACCAAGTCGACAAATTTACAAGCTTGCCCCAAACCGTGAATATCAAAAACTTAATTGACACACACACATACCTGTTCGATTAATGACTCGATATTTCCTGCTCGGTTAATAGTCTCGTCATTGTATGCACATTCACTGTTAGGATAGGGCATTTCTTCAATTTTTAGTCGTATGGTTTCCTCATCGCACACGTTTTCATCCTCAAGTTCACTTAATAGATTCAAGTTTGCAACTGGCGCTTGACCAAACACCAGTTCATAAGGTGTTGCGCCTGTCACGCATGAAACTGACGTATTAATTTCATAAGTAATAACTGCAAGCCCTGTATTCCAACCATCATCATTTGATTTCAACCATTCTGTTAGCTTTTGTTGTAAAGTGTTATTTATTTTTTCCATATTCTCGTATGCTCTAGGAAGCAATTTTCCTTGGATTATTTTGGAGTGCGGCCACCTTTTTTTAAGAAGCTGAATGACTTCGGCGGTGAATTTCTTTCCACTAGTCGACTGGAGAATCAGCGGCGCACCGAATACAGTAAACATGTTGAACAACGCATTAAACACCTCTTCCGTATTATTGGTTTTCAATGGTGCCGTCCATAACCAGTTTGTAAAATCGTCCCTCGCATGACAGATATATTGAAAACCATCTGCTAGCGTTACTTGCATTATGTCGAATTGAACCCTGGTGAGGAATTTTGAAGGTAAGATTGTTTTCATAGACAATCTTCCTTTATTTTTATAAAAGTTACAAACAGAACAGTTACTGATGAATATCTCCACTAATTCTTGCGTAATGCATGCGT